GGAACCTAGGTTCTTGCCATCCCCAGGGCATCTAGCTAGTGGAAGGGTAGAGAGACTGTGGAGGAGACAAGATGGCTATTTATAAACTCTGGACCAGACATGGCATACATCATTTCTTTTTTAAAAAATATTTTATTTATTATTTATTATTTTATGTGTATGAATGTTTTGCTTGCATGTATGTAAGTGCACCCATATTGTGCAGTGCCCATAGAAGCCAGAAGAAGGTGTTGGATCCCCTGGAACTGGGGTTACAGACTGTTGTTAGCCACCAATATGGTGCTGGGAACCAAACCTGGGTCCTCTGCAAGAGCAGCCAGTGCTCTTAATGGCTGAGTCATCTCTCCAGCCCCAGCACACACCACTTCTATCTACCTTCTTGTGGGAGAATCTGGTCATACAGCTATACCAACTGCAAGGGAGGCTGAGAAACATACTCTAGCTTATTTCTTAGGAATTCCCCTTGTTAGGCTATCCAATAGAATTTCCTGTAGTGGTAGAAATGTTCCAGATCTGAATTTCTACTATAATAGCTGCTAGCCATTTGTTACTATGGAACACAGAAGTATGGTTAATAAAATTGAGATTTAAATATTTTTGATTATAATTAAATAGCCATATGTGGCTATAGCTGTGCTACTGGACAGTACAGTTATAAAGAAAAGGGGGGAGGAATTTGGGCAAAGAGGCAGTGGTCTTTCCAGAATCATTTGTTAGGTACTGATGATTGAGTAACTGATGTGTTTTCCCACTTTCCTCAACTATAAAATGGGCATAGGAGGAAAATCTTCCTCTTCAGGCTATTGAAAGGTGGAGCTCATTCAGTCAAAGCACCCCAGTGCACGCTTAACCAGTGTTCTAGCTATAGCCTAAAGGCAGGGATGGTGCAATAGTCCATGGATCAAAGCCCTCCCTTACCTCTTATCTCTGTTTTCTCCAACCAAGCTATACCACTTACTTCTCTCCAAAAATGTTCCTTTCCTCTAAATTGTGTTCTTAAGACCTGGTTCAAATGTCACATCTTTATGAAGCCCTCCCAGTGTGGTCTCTCCAGGCATAGACGAGGATTCTGATGTTTTCAAGGACCTACAGCATCACGCAAGGAAGCTCATCTTGTCTTGTGCTTTTGTCTAGATAGGCATGCTTTTCTCCATCTACCTATCTTCTTCTCTGCCCAACAGAATTCTTTGAAGAGTTTGGGACATTTGGCAACAAATGTCTGTTGTATTTGAGTTGGATTCATCAGGGCCAGAGAGAGTTGCAAGGACACATTTCTTGGACAACTAGAGCCAAAGATTTCATCTACATGATCCCCAATGAAGCCAGGGTTTGGCAACTTCTCAGGTCACTAACTCTGTGTAGACATCCAAATGAGAAAGCTAAGACCACCTCACTGGTGTGGAGCTTGCCGAGTTCTTTTCGACGTTTGTACAATTTTTCTTCTCCTACATTTCTCTATAAAAATAGGCTTCGAGTTTGCATGCCTTTTACCACATGTCTTTTCCCACTGTCTGTCTACTCCTGGCAAAATTCCTGACCAGAAATGCCAAGGAGGACTGGAACCACTCAATTTAGCTTCCTGGACACCAGTCCAATGAGCTGTGTAAGTACTCCATGACAGCAAAGCCACACAGGACACATCCCACGGCCTCTGTGGCTCTGGGCAACCCTAAGAGTGTCACTCAAGATTATCTTGTGCCATTTTGACATCAACCTCAAAAAAATCTCAAGAATATTTCCCTAAATGCCCTAAATTATCATAAACATTCATTGATGGTTTTTATTAATAAGTTTACTTAGAGCTTTCCAGTTATTCTTTCAACACATACTTGCTGAGATCCTGCTCTGTGTCAGACGTTATTCTGGTGTTTAATATGTGAAACAGAAGAATTCCCATGTTCAAGGAGTTTTCATTCTGGTTAGGTGGGAAGAAAATAAATATGTCACCTGCCAACCAAGTTCCACGAAGGCAAAGAAAGCAGGGTGCCTCTTGTGGCATAACAAATCATACCAACACTTAGTGACTTAAAATAACACATTTTTTCTTATGAATCTATGGCTTGGCTGGGCTCCCCAGGCTCACTGAGAAGGCTTCAGTGACTGGAGACTCAGCAAGGGCTCCGGGGTCTAAGACAGCCTCACCACATGTCTGAAGCATTGCTGTTGGTCATCAGCTGATCCTGTTTCCACATAGCTCTCGCCACTCAAGAGTCCAGTTTGAGCTTCAGTATAAGGTAGTGTGGAAGTTCAAAGATTGTGAAGGCAGAGACTGCAAGGCTCCTATGACTTAGGACCAGGTGACATTGTACCTTCTTATATTGGTCAGTGCCATTGATAAGGCTTGGCCAGTCTGCAGAGGATGCCATTTTTGGGGTGACTTTTAATGTAATACATTGGGCAAAGGCATAGTGAATAATGGTGTGTTGTTTGAAATATAGTGGTCATAGAAGGACTCTCTGAAGAGGGGCAGCTTGGGAAGGGACCTGAGTGAAGTAAGGAAATAGGATATCTGGAGGAAGAATGCTCTGGGCAGAGGGAATAGTATTATCAAAGGTTCTCAGGGCAGACCACTATAATTCTTTGCATTAGAGACAATGCAGTATTAAGTTTTTGAATGAAAATGCATCCTTGTTACTTATGGGAAATTCTTGGGCAACAATGGTGAATCCTGAGGGAAGTGAACCAAGTTAAAATGGGACAACTGATTTTGAAGCACTGAGGTGTGAAGATGAACCGTTTGTGTAGTGGAAGACCCAAAACTGTCTATCTCATTCCCCTGCTGCCTCCATCCTCAGCACTCCTCACCTGATGTGCCTTGTGCAGCCCTGGAATGCTAAGACCTGGAGTTAGAAAATTCCCCCTACTTCCAGTCTCAATACCTCCAGTTTCAGTTAACATTCATCCTGGCCTCCACTTGTCCATAGCCTTGCCCTTTCACAACCTGTGGGGGTAAATCCAGGTGTGATACATGGGAGGACAAAGTGTTTGGTTCACTAAAGGATGGAGCAAAACAGAAGGGGTTTTCTGCTGTAATTATCCAAGATCATCAGGGCAGTCTGAGGGTAATCGGGCAATTAGTGTGTGTGTAGATGGGGACAAGTAGCTAGCTCACTAGCTGCCAGCTGCTTGTCACTGCTCTTCTGGCCCCTAGGCTGGATTCCTGGCTCTACCTGTGGACTATTAAAGTGTAATGACCCTCTCATGCAGAAGAGCCTGTCATTATATCTGTGTTAATACACTATTTAGCCACAAAATCCTGCCGAGTCACTCTGTAATTAAAGGACCTCCACATGGTCCCCTGCTCTGGCACTGGACAGCCATTAAAATTGTCAGGGCAGGGATGACTTTACAAAGCTGAGAAAATGGACTAAGGTCCCCTCTGAAACTGTGTGCCTCAGAAACAGGATTTTAGAGGCATCAAGATCCCCCAAATCAAGTACATTCCTCATGGACTAATTCATGGCTACTGAGTACCAAAGCCAACGTTAAAATTTGAAAGTTGTCTCTTCTGAAGCCCTGGTAGAGAGGGAATCCCATCACACAATGAAACAAAACTTTCTAAAAGTTCTCCGAGACGCTTCTCATAAAACAATGAAGGTAACTGTAGAGGGGGTAGCCACACAAGTTGGCAAAGATGTGGAGAAACAATCACCCTTCTCATTCTTCACTATCACCCTCAAAGCTCAAGCATCCCATCTTTCCGCAGGCCTCACCCCTCTTTGGGGTTTGTCATGAGCAGTCTTTTCTGATGAAAATAATTTTTTTCTTCAGCCTCACCTATTTCTCCTCCTTTCTTTTACATGATCATTGCTGCCAAAGGGCAGAAACACAGAAAGGCCCTTAAAAGAGTGGAAGGGATAAAACTGTGATTGTTATTTGACCTCTGTTGCCTAAACAATGCTATTATGATCATCTTTATACAAATACCTTTGTTTGCATCTTTATACAAATACCTTTACACACATGTATGGACTTTTGTATAGGATAGGATACTTAGGGAGTCTGAGCATGGTTTTTTTACTTTATTTTTATGTGTATGAGTAAACATACACTGCACGTATGTAGTGCACCCATGCCATGCGATATTTGTAGAGGCCAGACGAGGGTGTCAGATCCCCTGGAACTGGAGTTAAGGGTTGTTAGCTGTCATGTGGGTACTAGGAACCAAACCTGGGTCCTCTGCAAGAGCAGTCAGTGCTCTTAACCACTGAGCCACGTCTCCAGTCCCATGAGTATGTATTTCTTAATTTGAAAAGGTGTCAAATTGTTTCTAAAAAGTTATACACATTTAGCTTATTAGAAAGCCTGCTTTCCTACATCCTTGCCAACTTGGATTGCTGCCCATCTTAAAACTTTTTTTGTTTTCAGATTATGCAAGTGATAAGTGTTCTTTGTGTAAAAAAAAAAAAAAGGAAAATATAGAAAAACGTAGGAGAAAGTAAAGATGAACTATTATGCCACCATCCAAAGGTAAAAACCAGCCCAATGTAATGACACACAGCAGTAACTCCAGCACATTGGAGGCTAAGGCAGGAGAATCAGGAGTCCAAGGCCATCTTGGAATGCCTCAAAAACAAGATCGCAGAGGCCATAGCTAAGGTAATTGTAACCTGAGGAACTTTGTGGAATCCCAGTGCCAGTTACAGTTTAAAGATCACTCCATTCTCCCTCCTCATCTCATGACTCCAAAAACCTAAGGCATACTTTCCTGAGCTTGTAGAGACTACACTGAGGTGGGTGGTTGCAGATATTCACATCCTTAAAATGTGTCCCTAGTCAGAACAGTTCTGCTGCCAGGAAGGCTCCAAGCCCAAGGATTTGCGGAGTAGAAATGGAACACAAACATTCAGAAAATGTGTTTTCAGACCTTGGCAACTGGATCCAACAGATTGGAAAACCCATCTCCCTGGCCAACCCCACAGCCAAGTTTCCATTTCTTGGGGACCCTAACGTGCCCCGCTAAGCCTCTGTGCTAATGACTGCTCTGCTTTCCATTCCAGAGACCTGAACTATAATGAGCTGCAGGAGTTCCCCGTGGCCATCCGGACCCTGGGAAGACTACAGGAACTGTAAGTTCTTTTGTGGTGTCTGTGGGTGCTTCTCCCAGGGGTAGAGGCCAGCCAGGCCTCCCTCACATACCTCCTCACCTCCAGTGGTCCTTGTAACTGGTCCTTGCAAAAAGCCATGACTATAGACCCTCCCCTGCCCCCAGAACAGCTCTAAGTAGTCACAGGCTATGTTAGCACGACTTGGAGCATCTTTTAGAGGTGGAATGTCATCAGAATAAATGGCTCTGGGCCCTTCAAGCCTGGGAAGATACTTGGTAGAGGAAGATGATGCTTTGCAGCCTGGACCTGGCACTGTGAACGTATCCCATCTTTGTTAGGATATGTTCAGAGAAGAATTAGAAGAGGAACTGGGGGCTGGTTTGCAGGGTCACGCATCAGTAACATGCCTAGAAGGACTTAGAAGTTGACTCTGGAGCCCATAGCCTATTATTTATTATTATTATTATTATTATTATTATTATCATTATTATTGTGTATGTGTGTGTGTGTGTGTGCGTGCACATGAGTGCAAGTGTGGGCCCACATGACAGGGCATACAACAGTACACGTGCAGAAGTCAGAGGACAACTTTGTGGAGTTCATGCTTTCCTTCTACCTTTATGCAGGTTCCAAGAATTGAACTCAGGTTGCCAGGCTTGCATGGCAAATACCTTTTACCTGATGAGCCATCTTCCAGCCCACATATTTATTAGTCTATTTGAACATTCACAGCTGGGTGCTGTGCTTGGTGCTAAGTACAAACCAAGGGTGAGTTAAACATGGGTCCTCCCAAAGGATCCTTCAGACTCATCCATGACACAAAGGAGCATGTGTCAAACAGGAAACAGGACAAAGCAGTATATAATTCCAGCCTTAAACTGTGGTGTGGCATACTGGCTAAAATAATCATGGAAATTCAGAGTAGCAGTAAGATCACTATGGACTGCAGTATCCTGAGACTGGTCTCAAGGGATGAGTGGGATTCAGGCGGAGGGGATGGTGGAAGAGGACAGCTGTTTCAGTAAGCAGAACAGTGGAAGGACAGACCCTAACAGGAAGTGGAGAAGGTAGAAGATGACCACAGAAGATACTCCAGCCTTGCTTGGGGGTATGCTCAGTGACCTCAGAAATCTAGTATTCAGCGGGACTTGAGTCCAATTAAGGGAACATGCAGGTTCATGAAATAAGCCCTAAACTCAGCATCTTCATGACTCAATCTACCACTTAAGACCTATAGCAGCATCCATGTGCCACCTTCCTTACTTCTCCTATAAATCTGAGAGTGTGAATGCCAGGGGTATAGGTAGCAGATAAGGGAAGACTGGACCAGCCAAAAGAAAGGATCAGAATGAGAGACTACTGGAAGTCTCCTATTACAATGTCACTTAGGTCTACTTTTCTTTTCTTTTCTTTTTATATGAGACATGAAAAAAAGGTGGTATTTGATCAAGAAGGCATGGAAGAGGCTGGATAGCTGTCTCAATGATTAAGAGCACCTACTGCTTTTACAGAGGAACCAAGTTCAGTTCCCAGCACCCACAACAGGGGCTCACAAATGCCTGTTAACTCCAGCTCCAGGGTATCCAACACCCTCTGCTGGCCTCTACGGGCACTGCACTCATGTGCACAAACTCACATTTAAGACACACACATACATCTACATATAACTTCAAAACAAAAATTAAATGCAAGTGGGGGAGGATAAAGGAATAAAAGCTGAGAACGCCATGAGGCACCTCTTTTGCCATTTTGTGCAGCTGTCAGGAAGTCACAGGATCTGTATTTGAGTGTGGACTTTGCAGCACAGCTGTAAATGGGGGGGGCACCCACTCTTCTGTAAATAAACTCCCACCCTATGCTCTGTTAGCAAACCCAATAAATTCCTTAGGATTAAAAAAAGAAAAGAACAGAGCTAATGGAAGCCTTCATTATTCCACCAAAGTTGACCCCATGTTGGCAAATCCTTAGGTCTTTGATTTCTTATTCCTCTTTCCCTCCCTCCCTTAATCTTCATTGTATATATATTTTTATATAACCTGCTTCAAGTTATTTCTGGAAAAATGTGTTTAAAATTGCCTCTCTTTGGAATAAAATTAATTAATTAATTAATTTTTAAATTTAAATTAAAGCCGGGTGTGATGGCACACACCTTTAGTCCCAGCACTGGGGAGGCAAGAGGCAGAGGCAGGCATGGATCTCTGTGAGTTCAAGGACAGCCTGGTCTACATAGTGAGTTCCAGGCCAGCTGGGACTACAGGGAGACTCTGTCTCAAAAAGACCAAAAAAAAAATTAAAATTAAATATATATTTTTAAAAAGGGCATGGAAGGAACAGGACACACCAAGGCATGGGGACAGAAAGCCCAGAGAAAGACAAGCAGAGGCTGAAAGTTCCCAGAACAATAAGACACACATTTAGACATTTATCCATCTGTGTCATAAAACCCTCCAAACCCCACAGAGACTGACCCAGTCCAACCCACAAAAGAGGTATTCAAACAAACAGAATGACTAGAACAAAGGAAGGAAGAACAAACAACTCTTGGTGAGTGGCCCTGGCCAGAGGTGTGTGAGGGTGAATCTTGAGTAACTGTAAGTAATGGTAGGAGAGCAGGAGATGAGAGAGTTGAGCAGAGGCTAGAGGACACAAAGCCAGAATCTTCAGTAGAGAAGAGGATCATGGGAGGCCTGCTCAGACTGGGTGGTGTGATTTTCATCCCTACAGGTTGTTTCTTTAAAATCTTCTCAACTACACATTGTTCCTAGCTTCCAGACCTCAGGCAATCAGCAGTGCCTCATTGCTCACCACCCACAATGCCATCCATGGTCATTTAGCACCTGTCTCTGCCTCTTATCCCCACTGCTGCTCAGACCCTCCTGTGGTTCTCCACTTCAGGGCCTTCATTTGAGGAACTTCTCTCACCCCGGATCCCCCAAGTTCTTTTCTTTCTGTGCCTTCCTTTTCCTTCCACATACTCTTGGCTTCCTTTGTGGGGACCTACCATGGATTATTCCACAAATGGCCGAGGAGTAGATTCCCCTCTTGGAACCTGAACTCAGCTACTTACTCTTGAGTTGCTCTCACTGGCTTTCTGAGAACTGAAGCCTGGGACCCCACCCCATCTCCTCACACTTGTCAGAGAAAAGCCTGGGTTTGTTAAACAGAGAAGAAAACTCCCAGACAGGATTAGAGGCTGGGATCTCCAGGCTGAGGTCCCTTTGGTCCAGGGTCTGTCTAGTCAGCTGCCAGAAAATTCCCTGGATTTCTATGCACTACCTCTTCACACCTCTCCCTTTCCACTCCTCTCCCCAAATCCTCACTGCTCCTGGGTGCTCTCTTCCAGGGGTTTCCACAACAACAACATCAAGGCTATCCCAGAGAAGGCCTTCATGGGCAACCCTCTTCTGCAGACAATGTGAGTAGGGCTCCTCCTGCTTGTGATATGTGTTTGGGGAGGTTGGCGATTGAGTACAAGGAATGCTTCAAGAAAGCACCAGGGAGGCAGGCGTGTTGGAGACTTTCTATCCTCTTCCATGAGTCTCCACTAAGAATAGAAGGGAAGCCAGGCATGGTGGCACATGCCTTTAATCCCAGGACTTGGGAGGCAGAGGCAGGTGGATCTCTGTGAGTTCAAGGCCAGCCTGGTCTGCATAGTGAGTTCCAGGACAGCTGGGGCTACAGGGAGATCCTGTCTCAAAAAGATGAAAAAAAAGAAGAAGAAGAAAAGGGACCTAAAAAGGTAAGTAGCTGATCCTCAGGGGTCACATGGGCTTAAGAGTAAAAATAAATCGGTTTATCTGGACCAACTGTATGGCCTTAAACACCCAAAAGGAAAGTATAACCAAAGATTAAAGATTAAAGGAACTCTTAATTTCATAAGAGTCCATATGTATAGCTAAAGGCTACATAACAAGCAGCAATGCCAGACAGGTGATACCTTCTTTTGAGTTGTT